AGGCTTGAGAGGTTTCCAACTGACAGGACAGCTTGTTCTCCCTCCCCCCCCCACGACTGAGGATCAGGCCGCGATTGTTCCTTTGTTTGGCTCCTGCAGTAGCCTCGTACATGCAGTGGGGACCGAGTCGTGTGTGCGGAGCGCGTAGACAGGCTGTCAACTGCTGCGCCCCCTCCCTCGGGCACGCGGTAGATGCCGTCGCTTTCGCTGGTTGAACGGCCAGGTTCTCTTCGACCGAAGACTTATCGATAAGTGGGTACAACGGAACGGAGAGAGGGAGCCAGCATGAATTGGTGGAGGTGAGCTAGCGGTCGGTAGATTCCTCCCTAGCACCACGAAGCAGTAACGTCGAACACCACTTCACCCAACGGGAACTTGAACATTTTAGGACTTAAATCGTGCACCATGGAGACGATCCAGCAGGGAAGAAGGGCCCTGACGACTGCTGTCAATCCTGGATTCGTCGAGTTAAGAGGTAGGAGCAGCCATCCGATAGCAGATGTGTTAACTCATTAAATGCTAACCGAAATTCTGAAACGCGTTTTCGACTCGAAGAAGTCACCGAAGTGGGTTGTGATATTAATAACCGTGCAGCATAACCCTATGATAATTCACTTACTTAGGTATGCCGGCTTTTGAACTAACCTCCTTCCGACCGCCTGCAAAAGCTTCACTCTGTAAAAAATGACTACTCAGGTATTCTGATTTTTTTCCTATTGACTTTCAATGCCCTTATAAATAAAAATATGCTCCCCGGAAGGCATGCATGAAAATATTCACTCTTTTACTCATTTAGTAGGAACTCATGTTGCCTTCAAATTTTATACATGACGGAAAGGTAGAATTCGGTTTCAAAAAAGTTTCCCAATTCTGGAATAAATTCGAACCCGACCTGTCGTTACTGCTGCCAGCTGTATATTTTCCATGTACGGAAAATCACACGTTTCTATACGCTTTCAGAGGAGATCATATGGGGTTCATAAAATTTAGCGGTGGATTTGAGCCATATTGCAAAATTCACAAGCAGCAGTAGTAAATGCAGAAACACGATGTTTTATGAACGGGAATTTTACGCTCTTAAAAATCCCATAATTAGAAACTTTTTAAAAACCGAATTTTACCCTTCTGTGAGGTATCAAATTTTAAGACAACATAATTTTCTACCAAATGAGTAAAATAATAGATATTCTTATGCTTGTTTTCTATGAAATACATTCTAATTTATCAGGGTATCGATGACCCATGAGAAAAATCCCTGCTAATTAAGCAGTCATTTTTTGAAGAGTGTAGTTTTTGCAGACAGCCGGAAAGAAGTTCGTTCAGAAGCCGGCATGTCTAAGTACGTGAAATATCATGGGATTCTGCTGCACGTTAATTAATATTACAGCCATACTTAAGTGGCCTATTCGAATCGAAAACGCATTTCAGAAGTTCCGTCAACATTTCATGAGGTAGCACCTGAGATGTCCAGGTGAATGTGGCTGAACCTTGCTTTGGAGATGGCAAAAACGTCGGTTAGAGCCCTGTAGTGCCGGTGGACCTCGCTCCTCAGGTAGTTTGAACACACCTCTGTCCCGCAGAACGAAGGTGAGTGACTTGTGGCCCTTGGAGGTGGCGAAGCCATGATCCTCTGGGGGACCCTGTAAGTGTTTCCGAGAAAGGCGGAAGACAAACAACTCACAGTCAAAGGTACCGTAGAGGATTCCAGTAGGTGGTATATTTACATCGTTTGCAGGCGAATTTTCTGATGAGCGCTCCAGTGGTTGATTTGAACCTGCGACGCATTGTTGCGACGCCAAACCAACGGTGAAACCAAGGACATCCACCATGGTGGAAAGGGAGGCATCGGAACCAATACGGTCTTGCGAGCGACGTCTGCTGTAGCAACGTTCGTTTGGACATAAAAGGCCTGAGCGAACACAAACGAGTCTTCGAAATCGAGAAAGAGAGAGAGAGAAAGTTCGGGAGGAACTGGCGGTAGACACTGACCACGCCCGGAATCACTGCAGCTGACGTTTACAGGGAGAGGGAAGGAAGACCTTTATCTGCGAATGTCTCTGATGATGGATTCGAGTGAGAAGCCGAAACGTCAAGCCAATAAATTTCTTGTTCCAGTGATCGCATCTTCATCTTCTGAGAGGGAAGGATGTTTCGATAGCTTAAAGCTTAGAAGGTAGGGGATGAATGTCAGTGGAGTTGAGTGGATGTCCGGGGAACTCGAGGGAATGGGCATTGAAAAGACAGCTGGGCGGATTTGGGACAATTTCATACTGTCAAGGTGACATGCTGATAACGCATTGCTTCTGTCCACTAGAAGCTCATCAGTGTAGGCTCAGACAAAATTACGTCAAGGAGATCAAATGAAGTTATGACGTTCGTTTACAGATCTTCCTCTATGGCGATGGTGTTTGGAAGTTGACTTCCACCAGACTGATGACTGGAATGATGATTCTGGCGAGCAAAAGACTGGTAAGATTCTGGAGACGGCGAAGAGAGTGAAGGCTCAATAAGTACCATGAGAATGTCTGCAGTGGTCTTACTTCAAACGCCTGTTACAACGCTGGGCCACTCGCGAGTGTCTACACGTGCAAATCAGGGCTGTCTGTCATTCGCCCATTCGACTTTCCAGCTGGCCAATCAGATTCAAGGCCGGGTTCAGACATCAGAGTCAGGTGCTGGCGTTAAGCCATGGCCTAAAAACTTTCAGTCATTTGATGTAGCACAGGGGGATGAACAAAACTAGAAAACAATAGAAGAGAAGAGACGGGTCCCATGAAGCAGTCCTGAAGAAGGAGACACGATCGCTGAGACAAGAGCTTTATTAACCAGACGTTTCGGATTCCTGCTCGAACCCATCATCAGAGACAAAAGCAGATACGGGTGGTTCATGCACAAGGGGCTGCAGTGTTTATAGGATGCAGTTGTCATGCTACCGCACACCTATGAGTGTTCACGGCTTCCCCCTTCATGAGGGATCGTTGCACGTGGTGTGATGAGGGTTTGATGGCCGACATTTGTGTCGTTAATTGCTGCGATTTCATCACGTGCGTAGGATGCTGGTGTGATGATTGCTCGACCATCTGATGCACTGACCCTTGTGTTGGGAAAAGTGTTCACCTGTGCGCTTCCCGCGTGGCTAATTACTCCGTCCAGGCGAAATCTCAGCAATGAGTATGGAAGGGGAAGGTCATTGCACTTGTTAGTGGACTGGGGGTCAGTAAAGCATGACTCAAGCAGCTAGCGGTTCACGCTGTTGTCACCCCTAGCAAGAAGTTCGGTCTCGTCGAATTTGAATGTGTGGCCGGATCTCGTCGAATGAGCCGCAACTTGACAGCTGGCGCCATTTCTCCGCACCGCTGCAGCGTGTTCGGCCATTCGCGTTCGGAACTGTCTTTCAGTTTCTCCGACGTAGTTGCTTTGTCCGCAACTGCGCCAGATCCGATAAACGACTCCAGGCGTTTCTTGCCGTGGCAGCGGGTCTTTTGGTTTCATTACCCGACTCCTGGCATTCGCCCATTCGGCTTTCCAACTGTCCGAGTCAGACATGCTTAAGTCGCTTTGAAGCAGTTCCTGACAGACACTTGGAACGCCACTTTCCTGGCACCGGGGGCACCTTCCTCTGGCTACTGACTCTTCTCAGTCCCTCCTCCCAACTGGCGTCCATCTTCTCCTTCCATTCGGGACCAGGCTTGAAGGCCGTGGTAGTCAGGGTCTCACTCTCAGCTTAGGCTTTTGCGATGTATCGCTCATTAGCGGTGGCCTTTGAGACCATGCGCGAGTGATACCACCAAGAGGCCTCAGATTGGCTTATAGTACCCGATTGCAACAGTCGTCCGGCATGGAGGTGCCAACATTGAAAGTGCGCTGCATTACGTCTGGGTGGCTGGCGAGGAACTACCGAAATGAATACACCCAATCAGGGGCCAGAGCAGCTGTTTTATAGGACATCTCCAAGGAAGAGAAGTTCCTGGTTGACAGAGTTGAGGCTATTTCACGAAGGCAAAAGGGGCAGCAGTATACAAGAGGATCTCAAAGGTGTCGAAGATCACGGATGAGAGAGATTCATAGGAAGAAAGGCCGGAGATCGGTGCGCAGGGAGTGGGAACGCAAAAAAGAGGTAACGAAGATAGATGATTCAACGATCATCAGGAAGAGGCCGGGATCGCTGTAATGATGGTTGATTGGTGCAGGAGAAATAACACCGCCTTAAAATTCATTATCATGCAGAAAACGCTCGCCAATGCAGCTATCGCAGACATAAAAAGTGCAATCCATAGTTTGGCTGCTTTGACAACTAGGCCGGCCTCTTGAGCCGACTGGCTCTGGCTGGGGGTGAAATAGCAGAACACCGAGTTCGATCTGGTGGCGGCAGATGGTGACTGTGTCGGTTGGACATGAAGAAAAACGCTTAACTTTCCAGACAGATGGTCTGCGTGAGCTCCAGAATGCGAGACGATCTGTTACTTGCTGACAGAAACGAACAGGCGAGTTCCAGGGATCACTTCAGAAGAAGATGCGACCACTGGAACAGGAAGTTGATTGATCTGGCTTTTCGGACTCTCAATCAAACCCATCTCCAGAGACAGATAAGGGTAGTGGAGGCACACGGAGTGCAGTAATTACACTACGTAACTGTCGTGGGACCACATGCGTACTATAATACGATCAACGCTGGGGGTCGTAAATGATGCCGTGATGACTTGTCAAGGCTGATGAAACCACGACAATTAACTACTCGAACGCGGGCTGACAAGCCATCATCGCACCAATTACGACCCCCAGCGGTGATTGCGAGAGCTGAGAATTATACTACGCATGCTTTCCTTCTGAAGCTACGTACTGTAAGCACTGTACTCCTTGTGCATCCAGTACCCTTATCTGCGGCTGTCTCTGATAATGTGTTCGGGTAAGAATCCGAAACGTCAGACAGATGAACTTCTTGGTCCAGTGGTCGCATCTTCTTCTTCTAATCTGTTAGTTGTTGAATGGAAGTTAAGTCCTCAGCCAGTTTTACTGTATGGTGCTTCAGGCCGAGGAGAAGAGACAGAGGAGAAGAGGAAGAAGAAGAAGAGGAAGAAGAAAAGGAAGAAGGGGAAGAAGAAGAAGAAGAAGAATGGGGTGAAGTAGAAGGATAATAAGGAGACGAGGAAGGAGGGGAAGAAGGGAAAGAATAGAGAGGAAAAGGAGGAGGAGGAGGAGGAGGGGGGGGGAGATGAAGATGAAGAAACCGAGAACTTGGCGTACCACGGCTGGACGAAGTCGAGCACTTCAGATAAAAGCCTACCCATTGATATTGCCCCGACTACATTGAGGGGAGTCACTGGTTCGCTGGACGAAAACCACTAGAAGCCGGACAGATGTAAGAGAATGGTCAAATTAGGACTGCACAACCGGCGAAGAGGAGGCGAGTGGCAGGTTCTGCACGAGACACAGCCCACCAGATGCCCAGGTGTTGACCACCGTAATTGATGGGTCTTAGTGCGAGGCTCGGACAGTCAGGAAGCCCGCACCTGCCTCAGCAGGCGACGGCGTGCCTACACAGCGGCGCGTTTTCCTTTTAATGGCAGGAATCGGTACGCGCCAGGTGACCAAACAAAGACGCTGTGAGGTGCTCGTTGACGCGAGCCGGGGGGGGGGAGGATGTGCGCAGAGATGCCTGAGGAAAACTAGGAAAAGGGGCTTGATACCGCTGACCATCAGGCAGTATGGAAAAGGTAGGAAGAAAGTGAGGGAGAGGGAGGGAGGGGGGGTAGGAAGCACTGTCATAGCTAATCATGTACCCGTATCAGTATCGGCTCACAACTGAGTTGGATCAGCTGAAGTCGGTGTTAACATTATGCTCAAATAATGCGATTCATGCTTTTCGATCTGAGCTTTGCCCGCAGTATTGTTGTATATTGTATATGTATATTGAAGGGTTACAGGCAGAGCCCTTGATGACCCTATTTATGTACAGTGCTTTCGCAGATTCATACTCAAAAATAAAATAAAATTGCAGGCATTTAAAATGTGATTGGGTCACAGTTCAATCATAATCATAAGGTAGTGCATGGGGTCACTGTAAATTAGTGCGGAAGATTGTATATGACAGATTTTACAAAACTGGCTGTGCATAGTCATGCTGTACAAGCCGATTTCTGTCGAAAACTAGACGAGCAAGTTTTCTTTTAAACA